CAGCTTTTTCAAGAACGGTTGCACTAGTTCCGAAAACCCTTCTATCCATTGCCTACAAAAATTTATGGTCCCTAGAAAACTTCTGAGCTGTCTCTTGGTTGTTGGCATTTTTAGGCTACTAATTCCCTTGATCCTTCAGGGTTAATGCATTTCTTTCCTCTGTCCAGTATCAGCCCCAGGTATTTCACCTTGGACTCACAGAACTGTAGTTTTTCCCATGATACTCGCAATCCCCGTTCTCCTAGGAAGTTTAAAAGACTTACACTAGCCTTCCTAACCAATTTTCCTTCTGCCCCACTCAGAAATAGATCATCTACCTATTGTGTTAACATTACTCCAGGTGGAGGAGTCCATTTATGGAGAATTTCTTCCAGGATTTCCCCAAAGATAGTGGGGGATTCTGTGTACCCTTGGGCGAGGACGCACCGTTGCCACCTGGTCAATTTGCCTGTTTCGGGGTGTGGCCACTGAAAGGCAAATATCGGGCGCGACTCTGAGTCCACTGGTACACAGAAAAATGCCGATTTCAAATCTATCACCGTATACCATACACGTGAGTTAGAGATCTTCCTCATAATGGTATGTGGGTCTGGTACTATGGGCGCTCTAGGGATCACAACCCTGTTTACTTCTCTAAGATCTTGAACCATTCGCCAGGTCCCATTAGGTTTCTTTACGGGCAAGACTGGGGTGCAATAGGGAGAATTGCTGGGTTCAATAAGACCATCTTCCAATAATTCCTTTACCACTGGTTTGAGGCCTTCTTCAGCCTCGGGTCTTATGGGATATTGAGGCCTATATACAGGTACATCTGTTTTTGAATGCATTTTGACAGGAGTTACTTTCATTAGGCCGGGGTTCCCTGGCCTTGCCCATACAACTGGGTCTATTTCAGCTTCGTCCTCAGTCCTGAGGGCGGCCATTCTAATCTCGCACACCTGATCCTTGAGAATAATTTGTAGTCCCAATTTTGCCATCAAGTCCCGGCCTAGCAAATTCACCCCTGCATTCAGAGTCCATACGAAGTCGTGCCACACTTTTTCTGGACTTTCGGGCCATTGTACCTGAAGGGGTTTTAGGATCGGGGCTCGCTGCGCTGAATTTTCTATTCCTACCAAATTGCAATATCCCCCTGATTTGGGGATCTGCCCCTCCCAAGCAGGTTGGCACAAACTGGACCTAGTGGCCCCCGAATCTACCAGGAAGCTAACATTCTTACCCCCTTGACCCACCTGTAACGTTAACATGGGCTCGGCACAGGCGGTAATTTTTACCAGACAGCCCTGACCTCCCTATTCATCGTAATCCTCATAACAGGCCGCAAGTCTGGCTAATTCTTCTGTCTCCTTTCCCTTCCTTCTTGGGCATTCTCTCTTCCAGTGGCCGACCTCACCACAACACGCACATACATCACGTGGAAGCGGGGTCTGCCGTGCCTTTCCTCCCTGCGCTTCATCCTTTCTGCCTTCCCAGGGTTTTCCTCTACCTCCCTGGTTGCCATATCCTCCTCTTCCGCGGCCTCGTCCGCAGTTCCCTGTCCATGGGGGATTCCGTCCTGGAACCCTCTTTTCCAGTACTTTATCTACCGTCTGCACCATCAGCTTTACTTTCCTCTTTTCCTTCTCATCTTCCCTGCACATCACCACCCTTTGGGCTTCGGTGAGGAGGTCCCCTATAGGTTTGTTCATCATTGGGTCAAACTTCTGAAGCTTGACTTTTATGTCTGGATAACACCCAGCCACAAACTGCAGCCTTACAATGTTTTCATTAGCCACATCGTCGGGGTCTAACCCTGTATACATGCGAATATTTTTCTTCAACCTTTCCAGATATTCCACAGGACTTTCCTCCTTTCCTTGAGATTGTCCAAAGGCTTTGGTAACACTCACACTCTTAGGCACTGTGGCCTCTAATCCTTTTAATAGGTAACGCTTAAATTCCTCACATCTTTCTCTGAAAGCATTATCTTGAAAATCCCAATCGGCTGGGGTTACCTCGGGGAATCTATCTCTTGCTTCATCTTCTAAACGTGCCCTGTCCTCTGCTTGCCAAATTCTCCTAGCGTGTCCTAGAGCCTGATTGGTATATGTAATTCCTGCCAGTTGTTTGCAAATATGTAACAGTTCCGTGGGCTTATAGACCATTGTTCCCAAGGCATCTCGAAGGCCCGAGACAAACCCTACTGGGTCCTCGGGAAGATTGGGCAGTTGTTGTTTGATGACTCGGATATCGGAGGTTGTTAATGGGACCTCCACATATCCGACTCCTGTTCCCATCGGAACTTCCCTTAATGGATATTGCGCACAGGCTCCTGATTGCTCCCCTATTTCCCGTGTTTTGGATCAGGTTACTGGCCCGGTAGGCGGCGTCCTATCCTCAATTCTATTTATAATCTCATGGCATTTGGCAGCTATTTCCTTAACTTCTCTTAATGGGGTGGAGTAGTCCACAGTCGAAGCAGTGCTTTCGGGACTCTTTCTCCGGATGGGACTCGGCTGTTCTTCCACTCTCAGTACTTCATCATACCCTGGCGGCAGAGCCAATGCCGGTGGCGGCGTGGCCGCTTGTGCCGGCACCAACACCGGTTCCGCCACGGCTACAGGCGGGGCCGTTGGAGGTGGAGGCCGATAATTCACAAACTCCAACGGGTCAAATTTTGACATTTCCTCACCTTGTAGCTTGGAACTTATCAAGTCTCTACTTACTGCCAACCTCACTCCTTCTCCAAATTTAATTATAAACCACATCCAGGAGTCCACATAGGGAGTCCGGGGTGGATGAGCGAGGTAGACGTCATCTACCCGCTTGATGTGCTCAAAATCATTGGAGCCAAATTTTGGCCATTTAGGACGGATATCAAACTGTGTCCAAACTTCAGTGCACATGCGGACCATTTCCTGCTGTGTCTGGAATTCCTGCACTTTAACTGCTTCCCAGTGGAGTAATAGTTTCCCCAGCGGACTATTACTCGGGATTCCTAGTTCCATCTTACCCTTCGGAACCGGGGCGTCCCCCACGGAATCCCCCTTTTTCTTCTGGTCCCCACCGGACCTCCTTCTAGCTTTAGATGTCTGATTCCCCATCCCGCGGGAGACAAAAGACACAAGGGGGGGTGCGCAGAGAGTAAGGGGTCTCTCAAACACGGATACGAAAGGTATGAGACAACTTTCACTCGACCTGACCCAGGGCGCCGGATCACACAACGGTCACCGTAGGGAACTGCAGGTCCACTTGCTCGCACACTCACACAGCGACAACCACCCGTTAACAACCCCCTTCTTCCAAATCTCCTACTCACCACGAAAGACGGTGTCGGCCGGTCTCTTGATCCTCCCGCGTTCGTGTCTCCTTTCCGAGTTCTTGATGCCGAGCAGCCGACACGTCGGGAAGGAAGCGGCTGCCTAAAGAAAAGGCAGGGGCGCCCTCCGGTTCACTTCACCGCCGCTGCCGTTCTGCCCGACCTCAAACGGACCGTAGTCCGACCCCAATCGGGGCGTTCAGATATCCCGGACGAGCCCCCAAAACTGTTATCCGGAATTCTCGGTTCCCGTAGGCCCAACAGAGAGGCAGAGACACGAAGGCTACGAAGGAGGAAGTTTATTCAGCGCTGCTGCAGAAGCGGGGAAAAAGCATCGCCACGCGGGGCAATGGTTTCTCCGAAGAACAAAGGAAACTTACAACCTTTATAGTCTGTCCATCCCGGGCGGTCCGGACTGGCTCACAATCTCCATATATGGCAATTAAAACAAGCTGGCGATCTCCGATTGGTTACATATGACTACATAGGGTGAGCATGCGCAGTAGCCAAAAGTATACGTGACACAACTGAGAACAATAGCCTGCTTTTACGAGGCGTTTCCCAGTTGAATAAGTTAAACAGTTACCTTATCTTATCACCTGCTTCTAAGAAAGTGGAATTGGCAATTAAAACAAGCTGGCGATCTCCGATTGGTTACATATGACTACATAGGGTGAGCATGCGCAGTAGCCAAAAGTATACGTGACACAACTGAGAACAATAGCCTGCTTTTACGAGGCGTTTCCCAGTTGAATAAGTTAAATTAAACAGTTACCTTATCACCTGCTTCTAAGAAAGTGGAATTCTGATTCCCACACTGGTGCTTAATGACATGCCCTCCATTTGAATGGTAAAGCAAGGAAAGGACTGGATAGGCAGAACTTACAGGCAGTCATATACAAAGTCAAAGGACTAATTAAGTATAGTGGGAAGGAACAGAGGCCCGTGATTAAATAAGCAGTGGCTTTCCATGGCGACAGGGAAAGTTTTCAGTTGCAACCTGAGGTGCTTAATCATAGGTTTTCATTACTAGATTCCACTTAGAGACTGGTCACATAAAGGTGGCTACTCTGCTTCTCCTTGGCTTGGGTTGTTGAAGCTTTGTCTTTGATTCCTGACTGCCTTCAGGACACTATTGAAAGCCTAGAATTGGCTCTCACTTTCTTCCTCTTCCAAAATGAAGCGCTTCCATTATACAGTATTTTTAAGCTTGACATTCATTGTGCCAACTTCTCTTCTGAAGGAGACCATAAGAGGGAGGAATTGGGTCCTATCATTTAGATCTGAGATGTTTGTTATTCCCTCTAGCCTCTTGTGAATTCTGTTTAAAGCATTTTAACCTGAATTATCTTAGTTCATACTTTCTTTTTTTCATACTTTATTCATACTTTTTTTTAAAAGAATCTACAATAAGGATCTTGAAATATGAAACTGTTCCTAATTAGTGTACACCAAGTCGAATTCCAAAAATTCAGAATATATATATATCAAAAGCAATGATTGAATTGCTGTGATTACTGTTGGTACAAAGTTGCTAAGTATGTGTAGAGACCTAAACAATATATGTAGCATGTGTAGAGCTCCCTCGGCTCCTTTATGAAGAAAGGCAGGATAAAAATATTTTAAACAAACAAACAGCCATGCACTAGAAGCATCAATTAAAAGTGAGATATATATTTTTAAAAGCAGATTCAGAACTCACCATCCATATTTTCAGCAACCCCAGTAAAGATGTAGCAAACTACTTCTTGAAATCTAGAGATACACAAGAGCAATAGCATTAATAGATATGACCTAACAAATAAAATCAACCTGCACAGACTGTCAAAAAGAAATCACTGCCTAATCCAAGAGAACAGATCTTCTTAGTAGAATACATTTATTTTATTATGTTCAAAATATTTTTACCCTCCCTTTTTCCTTAAGGCAGTTTACATCATTAAAAGACAATGTTTACAGCTAAAAACATTACGTATACACATACTAAAGAGGATCAAATACCATACTAAAAAAGCAACTGTAAAACACACCCAAAGCAGTAAAGTACAGTCAACCCTCGACTTACAAACGGCTCGAGTTACAAACATTTCGACTTACAAACCACTCTGCTAGAAAAATATTGACTCGACTTGCACACTTAGATTCGAGTTACAAACCAAAAAAAACGTGTTTGAGGTGGGGAAAGCATGAAGTTTGAACTTTCAGTTAACCGTTGGCCAGTGAAGAGGGTGCTTATCTAAGAAAGCAGACCGCCGAAGAATTGATGCCTTTGAATTGTGGTGCTGGAGGAGACTCTTGAGAATCCCCTGGACTGCAAGGAGAACAAACCTATCAATTCTAAAGGAAATCAACCCCGAGTGCTCACTGGAAGGACAGATCTTGAAGTTGAGGCTCCAGTACTTTGGCCATCTAATGAGAAGAAAAGACTCCCTGGAAAAGACCTTGATGTTGGGAAAGTGTGATGGCAAGAGGAGAAGGGGACGACCGAGGATGAGATGGCTGGACAGTGTCTGCGAAGCAACCAACATCAATTTGACACAACTCCGGGAGGCAGTAGAAGATAGGAGGGCCTAGCGTGCTCTGGTCCATGGGGTCACGAAGAGTCGGACACGACTAAACGAAACGAAAAATATTTTTACCCTGCCTTTTTCCTTAAGGCAGTTTACAGCATTAAAAGACAATGTTTACAGCTAAAAACATTACGTATACACATACTAAAGAGGATCAAATACCATACTAAAAAAGCAACTGTAAAATACACCCAAAGCAGTAAAGTACAACATCTCAATAGTAAAATCATCACTGCTAGTTATCTATATGCAGCTAGCAAATTTTGCATGATGGGTAGGAGCGTGATCTCAAATGTCAGTTCACACAAATGAAAGTCTTCAATCAAACTAGATGTCATGGAGTCATGTCAGTGTGGTTAAATTAGATGTTTCCCATTCATCTAGAAAAGGGAGGAGAGGACAAAAGAAAGGGCAATATGTAAATGTAGGACCCTCACCCAACTCTTGTTTATCTTCCTCTGGTGTGAAAGGCAGCTAGACTTTAGAAGGCAGGCTGTAATGAGAATAAGCTACAGGTGGTTTCCCCATTCTTGCCATGAATTTTGTCACAGCTACATTCCCACTTCAGTAAATTGTCAACACTATGTTTACAAAAAGGATATTCCTGATTTGTTACTTTTAACATGAAACACCCAATGGAGTGTAGTGGATAGAGTAACAGACGAGGACTCTGGAGACCAAGTACAGTATGAATCCCCTGCTCACCCATGGAAGCTCACTGAGGGAGTGAAATGGGTAAAATCACTCCTTAAATATCTCACTTACCTTGAAAGCCCTATTAGGATAATAAAGTTAGTTCTGACTTAATAATAACAATGACTTTTGTTCCAAAAACAAGACACTACAAATTAAGCATAGTACTTTTAATTAATTCTGTCATGCTTTTTGAAATAAAGGACCGGCGTATGTACAGTCAAGAGCAACTTCACATTTCCATAGGAAATGCACGTGCTGTATACACAACAGGTGTGTTTCCCACAGCAAGCACACAAGCCTCACTGCTGGCAACACTTTAAGCAAAATGTGGCTTTGAAAATTATGGAGTAGGTTGTGCAGAAGTTTGGCTTTCACGATTCGCAATCGTGTCCAAGGGCTCAAATGTTCATTGCTAAAGGAAACTGTCATTTGGTTAATGAAATAACAAAGCCATGGTATTCCTTGCAAGCACATGGATGACACACAAATCATGCACATGAATCTCCAAACATGCATACCTGTTTATAGAAAGCTTATCAATACACTCATCATTTAGATCAGATTGCAGTTTCTCTTTCTGTGCAAATTGCACTTGCACATTTTAATTCTTCAAGAAGGGATGACATGAGTTTCATGGCTCCTGCCTTACTCTGCTCACAGGAGTAGATCACTGGAGCTGAAGCTCCTTGCCTTTCCCCAACACAAGGGCCTCCACCATATTATAAAAACCATTTCAAGAATTTCCAAATGTATAGTCAGTTCTCTCCTGTCATTCAGACTGATTCTAGTACTTTACTAAGATTTTTCAATATATGTAACAATTCAAAATGAATTGAATGCAAGAAGTTAGGAAAAGGAATCACACACAAAAATGGAAAAGCCATTTGTCTATGCAGAAGGGGGAAAAACTCCTAATATCTGAATTAGGTACTGTAATAGCCTTGGCCACTAGATTAAGAACCGACCACCCAGCCTCGTTTTCAGTGTCCTCTGTCCTTTATGTGTTTTGTAACAAAAGTCACGTCTGTTACACAAAGAATAAATGCGTCTGAATGCTGCAATCTTCTCTGCGCCCTTACTTGGAGTAAGTCCCAATGAAATATGTGCAAACTTAATTTTGTAAATATTTTATTTAAATGACCCCCCCCCCCCCAAAAAAAAGAGAACAATTTTCAGGATATATTATCTTAACTGGGCTACAAACTTGCTTTTTGAAATCCCTCCACGCCATATCTCGCTTACCATTATATCTCCCTTATGACTCCTGTGCTGGTCTCTTTCTTTTCTCCATTCATTTTCCTTTACTGAAATGGCGGGCAGTCTCAGAGCCTTTCCTGATCATCAGCCCCACCCCTGAAATAATCGCTCCCTATAGGAAATAAAGCCACTCTTTCTCTGGACAGGCTCATATTCCTTACATATTCCCTTGGGATCTTTTCCCTCTACCTCGTGCTGCTTCCCATTTCCAAATGACCCCCCCTCTTTCTAAAAGGAACAAAAGCTCTCTCACCTGATGGCGCACCGTCTTCCCGCCAAATAAACTCTCCGGGCGCACTTAAAGGCTCTGCGCCTCCCTTAGTCACCCGCCAAAATTCTAACTCACCGACGCTCCGCCCCCTTACCCCAGCCGACGCATTTACGCCACCCCGGAAACTGAAGTACCGCTCTCTGTTTTCCTGTCTCTAAGCTTTTACGGGGAGGATAAACATCACAAAATGCAGAATGCGCATGCTCTAAAGCGTTTTGTTCGTTCGCTCTTGCGAGTACCATAGAGATAAGAAGAGATAGACTTTTTAAAGCGATTGCTGCCCCGGCCTCATTCCACGTAGAGAACAAAATAAAAACACGAGCGCTGCAGTCCTTTAAAGACTCCTCTATTTATTTCAATATGAACGTTGGTGGATTACAATCCAAATTCCTCGTAAACCTTAAGAGTTATCAAAGTTCCCCCTTTCGGTCCCAGGAACAAAGTTGCAAAGAGGAGGCTTCCAGCTCTTTTCTTGCTTGAGCCCTTTTGTGTGTGGAAAAGGTTGTTCTTAAGGTTTTTAAGACATTTCCCTGGCACAGCCAATATAGTCCACAATGCTGCAGACTGAAGCGAAAGGCTGTGAGTGAGATAAGAGTTCACAGCAATCCGGCGATTCAGTCCATGTGAATACTGCAGAGTTTAAAAAAGTAGAGGGGGGGAGTATGTTACTGGGCCACCAAAGTATTTAAAATAGAGAGGGAAAAAGTTGGGAGTCATACAATACTCTTTAGTGGCTGGGGCGTTGCAAAACTTGGGAAACGGGAGAAGAATAAATGTTGGTAATACAGTATATCTAGGCAAGATGTTTACAGCCTTAGGAGGTCTAGCTGTTTCAGCTCCCTCAAATATATAACGTTTAAGGTGTTGCTGAGGCTTGTTTGGATTTCCAGGCAAGATTTCACCCCATCACCCCCCAAAAATAAAAGCTTAGATATGCTCCCCAAGATCAACCATCAGTTGGGTGTAGCAGCTTCACGTTTCAGGGACTTGCATGTAGATATGTTGCTGCCCTAATATATGTGCACCCAGTTATGATTTATGGATTATGGCCTCTGAATGGAAGTAATGGCAATACTCCAAACACAGGACAAAATCCAAAAAGTTTTTTTTTTCTCAGAGAGAAAGAAAAAGCTATTTTAGGGGGAAACAATATGAAACCCCAAACTGGTTGGTTAATCCTTTGCAAGGCTATACTTTGGATCAATTAGTTTTGCCAGATTAAGCAGTTCTAATGCTCCATATTCCTCTCTGCTCTCACACGCAGCTTGCTGACTTCGGCATTAGAAAAAGTCCACCACCAAAGAATTGATGCTTTTGAATTGTGGTGCTTGAGGAGACTCTTGAGAGTCCCCTGGACTGCAAGGAGAACAAACCTATCCATTCTAAAGGAAATCAACCCTGAGTGCCCACTGGAAGGACAGATCCTGAAGCTGAGGCTCCAATACTTTGGTCATCTCATGAGAAGAGAAAAATCCTTGGAAAAGACCTTGATGTTAGGAAAGTGTGAAGGCAAGAGGAGAAGGGGACGACAGAGGATGAGATGGTTAGACGGTGTCATTGAGGCAACCAACATGGGTTTGGCACAGCTCCGGGAGGCAGTAGAAGATAGGAGGGCCTGGCGTGCTCTGGTCCATGGGGTCACGAAGAGTCAGACAAGGCTAAACAACTAAATGAAAGTGCTTCTTTTAACAATACATTTTGATGGATGTTTTCACATTCTGCATTTAGAAAACATTAGTTCTCACCACTCTCGTCTAAGCAACCTGCTTATTTTCAGTACATTTTGACAAGTCTGTATGTTTTGGGAAGAAATGCTTTGTTTTAAGAGCAAACTATTGTTTAGGAACAAATCAATCATCTAGTGAATTTTTGTAAAAATAATCAATGCAGTCAGTTTAATATCATTTTCGCTTCTTTTCCAGCCAAAATTAGTTCTCCTCTTTTGATAGTATGATAATGCTGATTTTCACTACTTTTAGTTTGGCTTCCAAACTAGCTGTGGGATTCAAACTGCCTTGATCATCCTAATCAGGGGAAGGAAGGAAGGGACTACAAGCTTGTTGATTCTCTTTGACTTCTCCTCAGGTTCTGATAGTAACCACCATGGAATCCATTGCAGCCGTATTCCTAGAGCAGAGATTGGAAATATGCTTTAATAACAGTTGCTTCTTGGGGAATGGGGATGACACAAGGCCAAAAGATGGTGTTGGATGACCTCTTCATCCTTTGGTAATGAAAGGTTGCAGCCTGTCTCCTTTTCTCCTTTAGCATCTACAGCAGGACAACATCCTCCACAGGCTTGGACCGAGAGGGACACAGTTCTAACTCAATTCTCATTTCTGTTCACTGCTCCCAAAGCACACAAAATTAATCTTACACAGACCTGGGGGGCAGCTGTTGGATGGAAACTTAAAAGGAAACTTAAATTTAGGTGATTTGGAAGGTGGCTAATAAGAGTTGTGGGCTGCAGTAATTTTCCTCAGGATTATATTCCCCTTGAAGAATTACATATTGCAGGTACTTATTGAACCAGTGCTACCCATAGACATATGATTTCAGAGGCTAAGAGTGTGACAGACAGCAAAACAGTCTTATCTGGCAAAGACAAAACCCAGTCTGTTACCCACACACTGGTTACCTCTAGATTAGACTACTACAGTAAAAAAGGCGAAAGATTTATATGATCTGAAGAGAAACCAGAGTATGATGGAAATGCATTTCAGGCATCAAATACCCTATAGAGGAAAGAGACAAGACTACTACAGTTCCCCGTCTAAGAAGAATGCCGCAGTCCAAAATTTACAACTGGTGCTAGCTTCAGTCTCCATCATGCCTGTGAAGGCAAGCAACAAAATTCTTTCACACTATTTTTTTTTTTGCATTTCTAATCTTGTTGGCTTATGCTTTTAGGATATTTGTTAAATAAAATGCTTCATGAAGGCCTCTTCCAAAAAGTAGAGAAATATTAAACAAATTAAGTATATGTGTGTTGAAAGTAAGCAGCAAAGTGTGTGAAAAGGTAGCAGAAGCAGCAGGAAAGGAGGAAGTAAGAGAGTAGGCATCTATTATCTTGCTCTGCTACTTCTGTGCTGAAAATCACCCCCCCCGATCATATTTGAAACTGAAGTAGATACTGTATCTGGGTTTTGATCACGTGTTTGTAATGTTTAGTTACAGTCTTACTTAATGTCATGCAAGAAAGAAACTGAAAGGCTGAACATATAACAGTATTCATTTATTTACTTATTTACATATTTATTTGGTTTTATACCGCCCATCTGGCTACCAAGCTCACTCTGAATATATAACTGAATGTATAACTGAAGAAGCTACTTGGATGAGTAGCGAAACATTTCAACCTAATAAGAAAGAAGTCCAGTTGCCTTGATTCAACTTCCAGGTAACCTCACCTGGATGATGGAGAATCTTCACAGATAATTAAACAGGGAAATTCTGAGTCTACCAAAGAAAGTGCAAAACTGACAGTAACACCCTTAAATGTTCTCTTCATGTGTTCTAAATCGTAACTGTGGAGTGTACACAGGGATATGCTCTCCAGCTTCACCAAACATCTCATTGTTGGCAGGGGAATTAAAAAAAAAATTAAACAGGGAAATTCTGAAGAGGAACTCGGACTATATTTAATTTAATGTACCAAGAACCCTGGGCAATCAGGATTTTGGATAGCTTTGTATGGGTAGCCCCTTTCAGTGTTCTGAATGCCAAATTTAATTACCAATAAAAGGGATAATACTATAGTTTTATTTTTTTGTGCAGTTAACAACTTAGTTGGTTCATATCATGAAATATCTTTTCAAGAACAGTAAGTTCAGTTGATTAAAAAAAAAACACTTAAAAAGCCAGTGTGAAACAACGTACCAACAAAGATAGATACTATAGAATCTATTAATTCAGTCCTAATATTTTGATTACACAGTGAAATCCATAAGACTCTGAGAACCATTTATCTTTAAAGTGCCTTTGGGAAAAGAATAATTTTTTTTTATTTCAAGCATTAATATATTTTAGTAGTTCCTTAATCAATCAAATGTATGTTAAGTTAGCCAAAACCATAAGTGAAGTCAGTACAGTGGTGCCTCGCAAGATGAACACCTCGCGGGACAAAAAACCTGCAAGACAAATGGTTTTTGCAATCGCTGTGGTGCCTCGCAAGATGGCTTCTTCTATGGCCGTGCTTCACAAGATGAATGTTTTTCACAAGACCAATGCCTCGCAAGACAAATGAATTATTTTTGTCTTGCGAGGTTTCCATAGGAATGCATTGCAAAACTGCTTTTCACACGACAAAAATTTCGTAAGACAGCGCTACTCACGGAATGAATTACTTTCGTCTTGCAAGACACCACTGTAATACATTTTGGTTCTTTGATGTTTCATCACAGTTTTGTTTCTCGATTCCACTCAGATCTACAGGTATTAATGAAAGCCTATACAGGCTACCACCGGATAGCTCCCTCCTTTTTGAAAAGGGAGAGCCATGTGTAGCAGCTTTGCCACACTATGTGCAGCTACACCTAGCATATAACTAAAACTAGTTCTTATAGGAGTTTGTAAACAGGACCTCTGAACAGCTGAATTCTATATGAAAATTCCTCAGGACCTTATTCACCTTTCTAATTGAAATGACCACATCCTGTTTTATTCATTTACCCACAGCATATGAGAACATATGCACAATCCCATGGGATGCAACTAAAATTAGACAAGCCCATGAATACATACAGTGGGTTTAGGTGCCACTGAACTGCAAATATAAGTTAAAACATGTTAATTAAGATGAACTACTGTGGAAGTATTTGCCCATCCTTTCAACTTTCACCAGCAATAGCACACCATTTAGTATCACTGCTTTTTAAAGCACGTCATTTAAGTTTATCAGTTTTGGCCTTCTATGTTTCAGCCCCTGAAAAAAGAATTTGATAACCACTTTTTCCCCTCAAGCCGTCCTTTGCTATAGCATGTTTCCATTAAGTATAACTAAAAACTAACAATTCCCACTGAAATCAGTAGAAGAAAGGGCAATTAAAAACCAAAGACCAGGCTCTCCAGAAGAAAGTAGGAATGGACAAATTTGCTTAGAAAGTGCTGTTTTCATTTATGAGCAATTTTTAGGACAAAGCTTAGATAATGCAGTCCATTACATGAATCTGAAGTGTGTCTATATCTGGAAGAATCATTCCACACTTTGGACAAGAATGAACTGGGAGATTCCTCTGTTGTAGTTGCCAATCCTGATTTTCTGTTCCTGTAAAGAAAGATTTATTTGATGAGTAACATCACAGTGTCAATATTTGAAATTTTGTGGGTATAAGATGTTAAATTGAGGGAGTGCAGAAATAGTTGCCCTGAAAATGAAACTGCTTTTAAAATTAAGGTTTGGAAAAAATAGTTTACTATAGTTACTCAAAACAAGCAGCCAGTTCTATCTGAGCAAGGTCAATGAATCATAAACATTCTTAGCAGCTAAATGATGTTTTGGTTATGGCTTGGAAATACACAGTAGAGATAATATATGCAAGTCTGATACTTTGCACTTTTTTGTAGTTTCAGTGTCTTTGTACTGCAGTATTCTGCTTTTGTAGGATTCAGCGTTTTCAAATCTTTGATGTTACAGCACTATGTTTACACAAATTCTGCAAAAATGACAAGTCAGAACAATAACGTGATCAGCATAATGGCAGTTTGCCAGATTGTAGACAAGAAACCATTGGCGTTATAATATGCAATATGCAACAACAATACATTTTCCTATTGAAAAATTATTGTTGGACCGCTAAGCATTTGGATTTCCAAGACCTTCAGATAAGTCTGTTTACTGTAAGAGTGGAGGTGAAAACAATTTAAAGAGTTACAAATGTGGGGAAAGAAGACACACAGGAAGAAACGTGAATTTATTCACCACATCATTGCAATCCCATGCCACTTCAGGCAGCAAAAATCAAACAACAACATGGATTTCTCTCTGTCAATTAAAACTAGACTGGCTGGGTGAGCACTCAAAGTTTAAAGTTTCCTGTGGTTTTATGTATAATAATAATATACTTAGAGGATCAGAAAGTTATTTTCTTTAATATATTGTTACTTATAACAACTTTGGAATTTTTAATATGCTTTAAGGCTAAAGACTACTTAAGGTTATGATGCTTTTTACTTTTAAGGGCTTCAGTACTTGAAGAGATAGATTGTCTGTGGTTCCAACTTTGCTTTTGTAAGTAATAAATTCTTTACATTTTTAGAATGTAAAGACCACATTATTTTTGGTACTTGTATCTTTTATGCTCCTGTATTCTGGATACATTTTTAAAAAGTATTTGTGCCTACAGTTTTTCCTGTATTCTGGATACATTTTTTAAAAAAGTATTTGTGCCTACAGTTTCCCCCCATAGTTGTAAGATTTTTGGATATGTTCAAACCTTTTGAAGTATTTTGGGCATATGGTGCATAGAAGGAATGTACACAAATAAAGCCTGTAGAATTAGACAAGGTGATGTTGCCTGGAAATATTGCAACAGTGAAAAGACTTATACATAGATATCCAGATGAATTTTGATATGATTGTTAATGATTTGTTTGGTGTCATTCTGGAGTTAACTTTTTTGGGAGTTAATGTCAGCTGTGACAGTCACAGGCTTCTGATTTCCCCCCCTGCAAGTCTATAAAGTTCTGTTGGGCTCTTACGGAGGGTTAGGCTTCAGTTCTCTGATCTGACGAGAGGCTGCCTAGGCCTTAATAGAGAACAAACCATACTGCAAGATGGTAGCTAACCTCAAAGAAACTTGAGCAAAATCCTGTTGTGCAACTTTGTGCTGGTGTAATCATATTAGGCACCAAAAACATTTCATTTAAACTTCTGGAAAGTTTCTTATCCCTTCTGTCCAGGTTCCAAGGCTATGTAGGACTTCATCTTGCCCTGGGAAGCTTTTGGGAATCTTGGGAAGGGCAAGGAAGCCTTTAATAGCCAGAAATCATAGCAGGAGCACCAACCCCAGGATTAGGATTGCGAGAGGAGACCTGGTGGTGATTGTTTACTATTAAAGGCTTCCCAACTCCCATCTCAAAGCAAAAGGGAGCCCTAAGGAGCCTCTGAACCTGAAATGGGGCGAGGGGATAGAAAACTTCCTAGGAGTTGAAATGAAATGTTTCTGGTGCCCAATATGGGTTATGCCGATGCAAAGTTACACCAACAAGTTATTGCCCATTGATGCTTCACTTCTGAAAACTGATTGTGTCTCCAAAGAATGATAATTGTTGTGCAGAAAATAAAGTAGGGCCAAAAAAGTTCAATCTTTGCCGCCGTCTCCACTTGTAGGGTAGAAACTGTATGTCTACAAGAAAGGCAGCACACAGGGAATGAAACCTATCTGTTATGACACTCCTTTGGTGAAGCAAAACTCTCCACAGAAACACACGTGACCCCCCCCCCCAAACTTAGATGTATATCGGTGGCTTTTTGTCTGGTATTTTAAAAGGAGTTCATTTTGTCCTCTGTATTTTTACAGCTTTCTAATGCCATTTTTTCTTCTGTATTTTGTGGCTATATAACTTCCAGTTACAGTATATCAGTTCGCATGCATCTTTTTCTGTACAGCAATCTATATACAACATAATAAATTAAAGGTTAGCTATTAAATCTATTAAAAGCCAAACCAAAAATGCCACTCCCACGTTGCCTGCATCTCTTGATCTAGCATGTAACTACATGAAAACATCTGAATTAGTAACAAAGTAAGTTATATGTACAGTAATACATTATGGCCACCATCTATATAATAAATAGTAGGGAATATAAGGCACCATGGTGGGAAGGTAACAGCGTTCCGTGTCTAGCCGCACTGGCCATGTGACCACGGAAGATTAGTCTTCGGACAAACGCTGGCTCTATGGGTTGGAAACGGAGATGAGCACCGCCCCCTAGAGTCGGACACGACTGGACAAATTGTCAGGGGAAACCTTTACCTTTTTGGTACATGTCCAGTAATTCCCATATCAATCCCTTGGACCTGTGCAGGTTGACACAGCAGCCCATCACCTGCAGTCACCCCACAGCTGTCAAAATGGGGCACTTGCCAATGAGAAGATTTCAGTGAACCATGTCTCAGTTTTATATATGAATCAATTTTGTTTATGCTAAATTTCTAAATTTTTCTCTTTTAATCTTACCTCCTTGGGAAAAGTGTGATAAGTTATCCAGATTTGATGGCAGTCTAGTGGCATGACGACTCTGCATTTCAGCCAGTGAATTCCTGAAAGAAGAGAGAGAACAACATGCTCTCATTCCTCACTAAGAGAACGGAATACCAAGAGAAATGCCCCCTGACAGGAAAAGGTACAACACACTGTCCCCTCTTCCCTCCATTAAATGGCTCCCCAAAACCCTTTTTTGCCTGTTTCTCACCTGCCAGGCTGTCCATGGTCCTCCTTCTCTGACAGCAGATAAGCTACCTGCACAGCTAACTGCTCTTTTTCCTCATGGATCTTCTCCCGCGCTGCTCTTTCAGCATGGAAGTCAGAACAGTACACCTCCATCTGATTGGGAAAGCAAAAAAGGAACATCAAACCATAACATTAAAAATACAATTCCAAACCTCTTGTCATAAACATCCCAATTCTCTACAATGAACGGTGCACATTCGTTTTCTGGCAATCTTCCTCCACCAGTGCATGGCTCAGAGGTCAAGATTCTGGCACAAGATATAACCTAGTGCCATTTGAAAGAAAAGAAGGGAGGACAACAACTCTTCTAATATAAGGTGCCAGAGATGTTTCTTGCTTGAGTCTGCTGGTTGTAATTAATGTCATTTCCATTCATTTCAACAGATCTCCACTGCAACTTTATTTGCTAAATGTCTCAGTAGCATGGCACCATTAACTAAGACAAGAGTAAACTTATTACTAATTAGAGAAAGCAAACTTATGTTTTTACTCTGGCACTGGATACAGCCCAGGTTCCCCATTTGTTTTTAAAATACAGTACTAAAGCAGCACATGAAATTCCCTCTTCTAAAACTTTGCACCATGTAGGACTGTTACTTCCCTTTAGAGGGAAATCTGGAAACCCCACAAAGAGAAAATGAAAGCAGAAAATACTGGAGATGGGGAAAAAAGACATGCAGGAAATGACTGTCAATATTATAAACGCTGGCTTGTGACTCCCATAAAAGGGTGGCCCTTCTCTTGCCTCCTGCACTTTTCCGTGCCAGGAAAACAAAATTCTGCTTACCATTTAGAGTTGTCTTCTTTCAACCTTCAGTGTAAGCATACAGTGTTTATAAGATTGCAATCTTAGTATGCTCTCCTCACCTTCCCTGACTCCCCCAATGAACCTCTACAGACAGAGAGTTATTAGGCAGTTCTTTCAAGTCGTGAACTGGTATAAACTGGTATATGTTGACAGGTAGCCGTACCTGAGCTCGGAGGATAGACACGGTCTCAAGTTCTTCCTCCTGCTTGGCGACAGTCTGCTTCATTTCGTCCATCTGGAGCTGTTTGGCAGCCAGGGCTTTCTCTGCTAGGTCCAGCTTATGAATTAATTCTTCCACCACTGCCTTATCAACTTTTCCAGCCTATAGGAGGTTGAACAAGGGAAACAGAGTAATCATAATTTTAAAAATAATGAGTCACCTCATCAAATAAATTCTTTAGGAAAAGCATAATGGATTGAAATAAAATAATAAAATCAAATTCAGCAATGAAATCCTAAATACTTCCCTAAAATCATAAGAATATTGAACACAAGATACATAATGTCATACCTGGGGAGAGTTAAATTTCTATTATTCCCTCATAGCTAGCTATGCTGCCAGGCCTGGTGAAAGTTGCATCCCAAGAACATCAGGATAGCTGTGAGCTCCCCAGCCCCACCCTTGGCAAAGAGTACGAGGGAGCTGAAGAAGAGAACTAGCTAAATCACTTGGACCAACTACTATAGCTGTTGCACAACATGATCAAATACTCCATGCTAAATTATAAAGGAGATTTCAATGAAACATCTGTTCCAGCATAGCATGATATGTAACCAGTAACCACTGCACTATAAATGGATAATCAAAGTAATGGAAACCAACAGTGTTCGTTCATTTTTAAAATAAATACAAAATAAAATGCCTTTGAGAGTGAGAGAGACAAATATATGTGTGTATATGCATATAAAAATATATATGAATACATACATATGTATATATACAGTGGTGCCCCGCATAGCGACGATAATCTGTTCAGAAAAAATCGTCGCTATGTGTTCGCCATGCGGGGCAAAAAAGCCCATAGGAACGCATTAAAACACGTTTAATGCATTCCTATGGGCAAAAAACTCAGCATTATGTGGAAATCCTCCATGCGACCGCCATTTTCGCTGCCCGGTAAGCGAGGAAAGGGCGCCAAAACACAGTGGGCAGCCATTTTCTTTACCCAGCGGCCATTTTGGAACCACCAATTAGCTGTTAAATAAAACATCGCTATGTGAAAATCGGTAAGCAAAATGCTTACCGATCATCGCAAAGCAATGTTTTACCATTAGAAACATCGCAATGCGATTGCTTCTGCGATCGCAAGAAACACATCGCTATGCGGATTCGTCGTTAAACGAAACTATAAATGGATAATCAAAGTAATGGAAACCAACAGTGTTCGTTCATTTTTAAAATAAATACAAAATAAAATGCCTTTGAGAGTGAGGGAGACAAATATATGTGTGTATATGCATATAAACATATATATGAATACATACATGTGTGTGTGTGTATGTACATGTATATATGTATATATATGTATATATATAATATTACACTATATATTACTCTCTCTCTCCCCGCATACATGTCTGATCAGACTGACAAATACAGCTATGCATATAAAACCTGCTTGCAGGTAGAAAAAAAATGAGAGTCCTCTATGTTTAAAAGCGTACTGAAAAATACAATATTACACTATATATAAAACTCTCTTTCTCCCCGCATACATGTCTGATCAGACTGACAAATACAGCTATGCATATAAAACCTGCTTGCAGGTAGAAAAAAAATGAGAGTCCTCTATGTTTAAAAGCGTACTGAAAAACTTGGTTATCTGTTAAGGATGTTAAGACTGCTATCCTGTGCATCTTGTCAAGTAAACATGTTGGGATTGGATTACAAGTTACTGAGGTGGCCACACTGTGCTAAAATACATATGTATTTTAACTCTTCACAATACAAGGTACAGCTGAAAAATCACTTAAAAATCAATGATAAAAATCTTACCATGTTTTGCAAATGTTCCTTCCATGACATTTTACTAGCAGCCTTTTCCAGAGCAAAGCTTACCTCTTTATCTTTCAATTCTTCAATTGTTTGCATTGCATTGTTCATTTCTGGTAGAAGCTTGCTATATGCATCCTGCAGCTTATTAAATTTGACTCTGTTGTCAAAAGAGAGAGAGAGAGAGAGAAGAAGAAGAAGAAGAAAAATTTAAAAAACCTTTGTTTTCTATAAAGGAATTATTTTACCATGTTCATGTCCACTTTCTGCCAATAGCTTAATTCCCTCAAAATTTATCCATGGCATGCCTAAGATGAACACATGGCACACATTTTCAAAGAAAGCTTTTGTACATGGCATCCCAAAAGATATGGACTTGTAACAGAATATTCAACCAGGGACCACAGGCAATTCTTGTTCTCCAGTAACTGCAACAGTGTTTCATATTCACATTTTTATACACTAATGTTGGATACATAATTAAGAAAACAGAATGCATGAAGGCACTCTAACACACAGTGAATAACTACAAAACGTCCACTGTGGACGTTTATATGACTGACCAGAAACAGATTTGGGATCCTCTCCATATTCCTTTCTGGACATTCCATTTCCATTATCAGTAGGGCCAACCAAGAGGACAAAAGAGAATATGTATTGTCCCAGTCATAAATGGAGATCCAAGGCTCACTGTCCTCACCAGGCCATACTCACTTCTCATCGTTTGTTTTGGCTTGCTCCAGCTTAATCTCAGACTGCATGCTTTCCACCTGAAGTTCCAGCTTCTTGATGGTGTACAACAGCTGTTGTTTCTCATCCAAATCACCAGCTTGTACACAAAGTTGTCTTTCATGAACCTGGCATCTGAAAAACAGAGGAAACAGAATGTGTATCTTTACAAATACTTAATATGTCATAGAACACAGGCTTCTAAATGCTTCAGGGCCGTTTCACAATTTATGCAATAATTGCACTCATTGTGGATAAACTTCTGCATGCTAAGTATGACATTATAGTATCCTGGGAATTCTACTCTGAACTGCCAGAAGTCTGCAGTCTTAGGAAGAAAGAATACTCAGGAAAGGAGGCATTCATTAGAGGAACTAATGAGAAAAATCTGCAATAAATTTTTGAAAGTCATCTTACTTGCTACTGGTGAATTTCTTCTCTTTTCCCTTTCAGGAAATACAGCACATCTGGTTTTGTAGGAAGGGGTCAATATAACAGGTTTTAGATTCTTGCAGGCAATACTAGGTTGTTTCCTTCTTTTTCCATGTGGACAGATACTTCCTCTATTCCAGTAGTTCCCAGCCCTGGATCCCCAGATGTTCTTGGACTACCAGAAATCCTAGCCAGCATAGCTAGTGGTGAAGGCTTCTGTAAGTTTTAATCCATGAAAACCTGTGGACCCAAAGTTGGGAACCACTGCTCTATGCAGTATGTTCTTACAACTGCCCCTACATTCTCCATTACCATCCCTTCAGGATTCTGTGGCAGATGCAGTCCCACACATCACCCTGAACTCCTTCCAACTACCTCTCTGACCACAAGTTCTGGGGACCCTTTAATCAAACTGCAGAGGAAGGCCAATCTGAGTTGGATTTCTTTGGCAAAGAAAGGCCAGTGTTTAGCTTTTCAAGAGAGAGTAGCCTTTTAGCCTGATGCCTCTTAGCTTGACTCCTTAATTCTATTACAAATACTTAATATGTCATACAACACAGGCTTCTAAATGCTTCAGGGCAGTTTCACAATTTTATGCAATAATTGCACTCATTGTGGATAAACTTCTGCATGCTAAGTATGACATTATAGTATCCTGGGAATTCTACTCTGAACTGCCAGAAGTCTGCAGTCTTAGGAAGAAAGAATACTCAGGAAAGGAGGCATTCATTAGAGGAACTAATGAGAAAAATCTGCAATAAATTTTTGAAAGTCATCTTACTTGCTACTGGTGAATTTCTTCTCTTTTCCCTTTCAGGAAATACAGCACATCTGGTTTTGTAGGAAGGGGTCAATATAACAGGTTTTAGATTCTTGCAGGCAATACTAGGTTGTTTCCTTCTTTTTCCATGTGGACAGATACTTCCTCTATGCCAGTAGTTCCCAACCTTGGATCATCAGATGTTCTTGGACTACCAGAAATCCTAGCCAGCATAGCTAGTGGTGAAGGCTTCTGGAAGTTTTAATCCATGAAAACCTGTGGACCCAAAGTTGGGAACCACTGCTCTATGCAGTATGTTCTTACAACTGCCCACACATTCTCCATTACCATCCCTTCAGCATTCAGTGGCATATGCAGTCCCACACATCACCCTGTACTCCTTTCAACTACCTCTCTGACCACAAGTTATGGGGGCCCTTTAATCAAACTGCAGAGGAAGGCCAATCTGAGCTGGATTTCTTTGGCAAAGAAAGGCCAGTGTTTAGCTTTTCAAGAGAGAGTAGCCTTTTAGCCTGATGCCTCTTAGCTTGACTCCTTAATTCTATAAAGAGGACAGGCTGTTACCTGCTTGGTGGAAAGGAAAGGGATTCTGTATACATTGAAAGACGTTTTTACTATTTTTTGCTGGTTAGTAAAAATACCTTTCAACTCATGGTTAAACACAGTATACGTAATCTTGAAAACTATAGCTGATATTGAGATATCAGCTGTACATTGGAAAAATATATAGTACTTTTTTTTGGTCTGAAACTCTCAGAACTGCTCTGGCCACTGGATTCATGGAGGATTCTCAAACTTGAAGTCTCTAAAAATGAATCATCCCAGCTTTGCATAAAGTTAAAATAAACTCTGGATCCCAGCTGGAGAGAGGAAGCAGGACCCACTGGGACAAAAACATGGAGTACTTAAGGAAAGGAGACAAATAGGATAGAGCAGTAGTATTGAAGAATCACCAGCAGCCAACTGCATGTCAAGTAGCTGGCAGAAGGAGGGCAATGTTTCAAGAACACTAGATTGGAAAAAGATGGTGTCTTCTTTAGCAACCAGCTGCATCCCGACGTATCCATCCCTGATGAATTTAAAGAAGCCCCTTACTTTTCTTGCAGCTTCTTCTGGATCAACTCTGCCTCTTTTAATTTGGCATGTGTCTCCTGAAGTTCTTTGAACAGAGCAGATACTTGCAGGTTTAGAGTTTCTACCTCATCGCCAACCTGCAACAAACATAATTAAAAACCATCTGATAAAAACAGAGCCCTTTCACACTGTTCCACTGAATGGTGAAAACAAGAAAAGCATGTCAATACTAACACAGAGTTCAGGAATGTCTGCCTCTAGATCAAGAACAGGGAGCCCTGGCCTGCCAGCCTCCTCCTTCCTTTATCTCTGATCCATGGCTGGAGAGAGTGGATTTCCTCTTCTCCCTCTTTTCCAAACACAGGAGGCCTTTCTGGAGGGTGGGGTGTTGTTGGGGGAGGAGGGAAGGGCTAACAATCTCCAACCTGCAACCAGCCCCAGATTAACCATTAAGCAAAATGTCTTCAACCTGCAACCAGTCCCAGATTAACCATTAAGCAAAATAAGCACATGCTTAGGGTACCAACAAGGAAAGGGGGAATCACAGAGTTTTTTTCCAGTGCCGGAATTACTACTTTAATTTTTTTGTTGTGGATATATATTGTAAATTTATATATTGGACAACATTTTGTGATGTGAAGCAATCTATAAGTACTTTAAATAAAGTATCTTTAGCCACCTTTATCTGGACACTATTATTTAACTCCTTTTCTTTCCCTTTTACATGCCTGGAGGCAGGGGTAATTAGGATATCCTCCATTTTATGACTTTGTACTTCAGATGCCCAGCACTGGCAACCACATGACTTACAAACATCTGTGGATCATGGCAGCGCCAAGCCCAGGTTGGAATGACAAAGGAGAGCTGCTTTTCCTTTTCCATTCCTGACCTACAAGTGACCCGAGCTGGCTCCCCTTGCCTCTTTATTCCGTGTCTATATGGGTAAGACCAGAACAACTGGACCATTGCTTAAGAGGTGGTGCCATCTGTTGGTGCCAACTGAGGCCATTTCACTCTGCCTACCAGCTTTCACAAAAGCAGGGCTACAGCATCACTCCGAATGTCACAATTGAGCCGTTCTGAGACACAATGCTTGAGATCAGGCCTCACATTAAGAGGCAGGATGTATGCAAGTGGATGCATGAGAAGCTGAAGGAAGTCCATTCTGCCCATCAAGTTAAAAGTGTTCCAGACTCACAATGGGAAGGAAGAGTCTCATCAAAAGCTATGAGTGGGCATATTTGACAAGGAGCATGCATAAATAAGTGATACTTACACTTTCTGCTTTCCCTTTTTCTTCTTCTTTTTCAAGTTCCGTCTGAGTGCCTCTCTCCTCTGCTTTATTTTCCATCCCCAACACTCTGAAAAATGAAAGAATCCCATTTCAATTTAAACATCTTGGGTCAGATCCAAAGAACAATGTATGAAGTGGGGTGCACCTCTTTCTAGCTAAATAGCCTCTGGAAATACAGTAACTCTTCCTAAGATCAGGAACTCTGCCAAACAGGATGGGCTGTGGCACAAGAGACTGCTTAGTGAAGGTATTCTTGCCTGATTTTCTGTAAGCCAAGACATGCCCCATTCAGCACAGCTCCCTGGACACTCAGAGGGATTTCAGAGCACAACTTGAGAGAGAGAGAGAAGTGGATGGGAAGGCATTGGTGAATCACTGCAAGTGATCCCTAGTGGAATCTTTGCTTGATGGCCAGAAAAACCTTATGTCACAAAAACGTTTACTGCTAAATGAAACCCCCTTTTCAAGATTTGAAATGGCAATTGTTAAAATCAAAATGCAATTTAGGTTACTAGAGAATGCAAAAAACGAGATTGTACAGCGAATCCCTTTCAGCACACACAACAATGAATGCTGAATCAGGGCCTGGAAAAGTTATTTCCGGATTCCCCCATGTCATGCTAATGGTTGGACCTTGCAGTTAGTTACTGTACTTAAGGAAAACAAAAACCCTACAAGCTCTGTTGTTAAACACTTTTAAGTACAGGTCTTTGGAGCCTTACTGGAAGGTCTTTCTTATCTATCTGTCTGTCTCCTTTCACCCGATGGAGAACCCAGAGCAGTTCACACCAATTAAAATCATGCAATAATGGCAAGCTAAAAATACCATACAAAACAATATATTAAAAAAACAATTAAACGTTGGTCAAGATTAAAAACCATTTTAAAAACACTTTAAAAACATTTAAAAACATCTAAATTTCAAAACCAAAGCTTTCTCTAAATCCCCATTTATTGCTTAAAAACCTCTCTGAAAAGGAAGATCATTTCCTGACAGTGGAAGGACATAAGGAAGGGGGCCAATCTGGCTTCTCTGGGCAGTGGATTCCACAAAGAGATTCAAAGAGAAAGAGTAACAACTATAAATTGTCAGTACCTGTCCTTAAGTTCCTGCACCTCCTTTTCTAATGCTTCCCTCCTCTGAGTCTCGCTCCTGAGAGAATGAAGCAACTGGCTGACCGTTAATTCTTCAGTTTCCAAATATTTTTTTGTTTCATCCACAGATCTGCTCCTCCTTTACAGAATCATTAAAAAAAATTAGAAGGGCGGAAAGACACCCATAAGGGGAATCGTAGACACAGGCCAGTGAGGACCAAGCATGATCAGAACCCCGAGAAAGTTGCCTACTTTTGTAGCTGAGAACCCACCAGCACAACAACGAACTCCATTATGCTGAATATGCATCTTGGGATATATGACTTTTCACACGTCCTCCACCTCCAGCCCACCAAGTTATCCTTTTTACATTTATATCCTGCCTTTCCTCCCGTAAGCTCATGGCAGTGAGTTTGACTCTCCTCTTCCCCACTCTGTCCTCACAACAACTCTGTTGAGGCAGGTCAGACTGAAAGAGAAAGTGATGGGTCCAAGATCTCTAAGTGACTTTCACGGACAGGGATTTGAACCCAGGTCTCCTGCATTCTAATCCAATAGTTTAACCTAACTACGTAACCTTGGGTTCCAGCACTGAGAGGGAAAGATCATAAAGCCCAAAATAATTTCCTAGTAGATAAAACAGCTATTTCCAACACATTACTAGCATCAGTTACTCTAACAGTTACTAACTTAGTAACTTACTTACTTACTTTAACAGTTATACTGGCTTAACCTGGTACTGTAGGAAGTTGTTTTTCCCCCTCAAGAGAGACTAAAGTTTGAAACCGGTTTGGAATTAAAGTTTTAAGACACTGGACCAATACTTTTTTAACTTATGAATTTTAGTAGTGTTTTAATATTTTAATTGAATGGTGCTTCACAGAAACACTGCAAGTTCCTATCTACTTTTCATTGTATCTGTCTTTACTCCCTTTCAACCATGCTGTGAGCCACTTTCAGATAAAGTTCAAATACATAAATTTCGTTATTACTGTCTATTACCATCAGAAACTTCTTTCTAACATTTAGCTGAAATCTCCTTTCCTATACAGTGGTGCCTCGCTTAACGAGCGCCTCGCTGAGCGATGAAATCGCTTAACAAGGCCCTCTGGGCCATCGCTGGAGCATTCGCTCAGCGATGGCCCCTATGGGGATTTTTGCTTAGCGAATATCGCATAACGAAGCGGGGGAGAACAGCTGATCGGCGGTTCCAAAATGGCCGCCGGAAGGTCCGCGCCGCATTTTCGCGCCCTGCCCTCGCTTACCGAGGGCGCGAAAATGGCGGCGCCATGGCATTAACGGTGAGTTTTCAAGCCATAGGAACGCATTTAACAAAGTTCAATGCGTTTCTATGGCTTTTTAAATTCCGTTTAGTGATCCGGAACGGATTAACCTCGCTATGCAAGGCACCACTGTAATTTGAACCCTCTGGGTTTGGGTCCCAGTTCCTGGAGAGGGAGAATATAAGCTTGTTCTGTCTTGTGATCTCATGCAGAAGAGAGTCCCATCCTTCTGATCTTTTAAAATCCAATGCACACTTGTTCAGAAGGTGGGCCTGCTATTTTCAAACAAGTTTATTGACACTCAGGTGACTGTAGCACTCCTTGCCCTTTTTTTCACACCATTTCCACCTATCCTATCTATCTAACATCCCTTTTTAGATAGGGGCATCTGCCTTACAACAGAAAAATATCCTAGGCAACATTCCAAACATGACCATGTCAGATGTCTATTTAATGTTTCCCTCTTTTTTTAAAACTCATGTTTACTTAGCAGAGAAAAATTCACCAGAAAGGGCAGTGCAAAATCAAATAAACAAGCCAAACTAAACCAAAAAATAGTTTTGGGCCATATTAAAGGGTTTTCCTTACGCATAAGTAGCTGAGTCACCAGTTTTTTTGCCACTAAGATTTTGATGTTCTTTTAAAGCAACATTTACTTCTCCTTCCTGTGGAAAAATGGAAGAACAAGCAATGTGGATAGTTACATGTGCATTTAGCTAAATTAAATAATTTATTTTAAATAACATCAGACAAAAAACCAAAACTAAAACAAAGAAGAACAAGAGAGGAAAACTTCATGGCACCTTAAAGACCAAGGTGCTATATTTTAATGTTAGCTTTCATGGATCAAGCCCATTTCTTCAGATATGACCTTAAAGAGGAAGGCACTATATTTTAGTATGAGCTTTCATGGACTTGATCCATGAAAGCTAAAAAAAGTGCCTTACTCTTTAAGGTGCCAGAACATCTCTCTCTCTTTTTTGTTTTTGTTTTTTGATCTGATATGCTTACACAGACTAACCCGGCTATTTCTTTGAAAACTACACTGATTTTAAATGTCACCTACAAATATACACCAAGTATTTAAGAACAAGAATGAAAACAAACTAGGTCATTCACCCATTGTCTTCCATATTAACAACAGCCATTTTTCAAATATTGCCACTAGTCTGTACAAACATCAGCTTTCCTAAATAGTAATGACAAATTGTCAAAGTGTTAGACTAGCCAAGTAACTTGAATAGTACCAGAAAAATGGAAAAGGATGCAAATGGGGCCAAAATACGGGCTGAAATCTCTGTACTATTGAATTGACCTCTTATACCTTCTCTTTTACAAGATGCTTTGATTCAGAAAGTTATGTTTTCCCTTTCCAATCTAGTTTCAAGTGGGAGGAGGCTTTTCCAGCTGTTATGGCTTTATTATGATCTCCCAAGGACACTGGCTTATCTTTTAAGTGCCAGATAAAATCCTGTTTTAATGAACCAGGTACTGCAATGTTTTGCATTTTATCTGTTGTATGTCTTATTGCTAGATCTGTGGTGTTTCCTGTTGGCTTGCTCTGCATCCTGCTTTTTAACTTTGGGCATATTCTTTGCTACTGTTGTAGACTGAGCTATAATCAAAGGCTATGTATAAATCACAAGTGGGGAACTTCTAGCAATCCAGAGGTCAGACTCCAACTCCCATAAGCCCTAACCAGCATAGCCAATAGTCTGGGTGCTGAGAATCAGAGACAAACCACATTTGGCTGGGAGACAAATGTCTCTCTTATATAAAGCAGCAAAGGGGCATCTGCAACCCAAATACTGTGGGGAGAGCCTTGAATCTACAGACCACATACTGGGGTGGCCTCAAACTGAGTCCTTTGGGTTATATGCTAACTGTGCCTTAGAACAGAACAGTATTTTCTCAGTTCTGGTACAAAACCTAGTATTAATGGGAGATTTTACAGCTTCTCTACAGTTAGGGTCTCAAGGAACATATCCTAAAGGGAAAGTCCAATTATTAGCATCTCTTTTTTAATGGTGTGTCTGTCGGGGTGGTGGTGGTAGAAGAATAACTTACATGCATCCTGATCTCAACGAAGGAGTCTTCCGCAGTGGTACTATTGAGCTTCAGCTGCAGCTCTGAAATTATGGCCACTAGGTCTGCCTTTTCTGCCTGGAGCTTGGTCACCTGTGTCCTCAGCTGCTCCAATTCTTGTGCCATCTCTTTTTTAGGAATGCTGTTTCCCTAGGAGAAGTGATCAGCAAGGGAAGGTGAGTTGACCCAAGCACACTCAGCAGCTCCAAAAATAGACAGTCAAGGACATCCCATGTTTTGCCCCAATAATTGCCTAGTTTATCATTTGCTGATCTGGTGTACTAAGATGGAACTCTCCTCAGTATGCCTATCCTTAAAAGTACAAGAAGTGGTGACTGAGGAAAGAGCCATTAGCACTGTGGTGTTCTGACATGAGAATACTCCCTCTGTCACTGTGGCACCTGTAAAAATTTGGATGCAGCCTCAATCCTTTATAAAGCATAAGGCTATTATTACATATTTCTGCTAAGATCAGCAGAAACAAGTTCATGAAAAATCAGGCTGGATTAAACAATAACTAAAAGCCCAAATTGTATAATACATGTTTTGCCATCTGTAAACTTTACAACAGCCTTCCATTTAACTACTGTGGAGTTTTTGGAAAGCAACACAGCTGTTTCTAGGCAGAAAATCTCTGAAGTTCATGCTGTGGAAAGACACGAACAGAACAATGTGGGGGGAAAAAAGAGAGAAGCGTAGCTTCTCTCAAGAGTCAGGAATCTGACGTCTCAACGAGGCTACTAGTTGTCACAATATCTGAGGAATGTTTATATGTACAGGTACAACATTTTACAGGTAAAGTGCAGGGCAGAGCTGGCCCAATTCTGATCAATCTCCAAAATGCAGAATTGTCTCATTTCCCCATAGCTTGGGGGGCGGGGGGAGAGGAAACTAAATAAGCAACCCTTTGCCAGCTCTACTGTGTGGCACCCTACTCCACCTAGTAACAGAGCAGGACCCATTGCTGAGATTTCAAATCCATAAACGAAGGGTGAAATCAACCTTTGAAAGGGGAGAGCTCTCAACCAATGAAACTCTGGAACCCTCTGGCCCTGGGTATCACAATGACTTAATAATCCCAAGCCTTGGGGAAAAGAAAGAACCAACATTACTTGCTCAATGTTTACACATTTTCTATATTTCTAGTATGACATATTGCAAAGACTGTTGAAATATACTGTATAGGGCCCATGCAGTGCAATCCTTAATACATTTATTAACAAGTTCCACTGAATTTAAAAAGGCTAAGAATCATGGCATTTAAAAATCATCTGTTCACCTCATCTATAGCTTTTGTTCTTCCATCAGACAACACATAACCTATTTTTAAAAGCAAAGGTAACTTTTCTTGAGGTGCAGAACTACACTCTGTTCACACACACACACACAGACATTTTATTTACATTTGTCTGTCCTTTTTCTTCTAGAGTTTGGAGCTCCTTTTTCAGTGCTTCATTTTCAACACATTTGGTGGCCAAGCATTGCCTCGCTTCCTTGAATTTTGTCTCATAAAACTCCCGCTCTTCTTTCAGCTTCTCTCTCCATGCAGACAGCTCTTCAAACCGATCTTTCATAGCTTGGTTATGCTGTCGCATGGCTTCTGTTTGAAATGCACAAATACAGCATCAGTGTGAGTCAAAACATTACAGCCCCTTTCCTCTCAGAATCTAATTATCATCTTTGTTTCTTGTGGTGCAAACACAGGACATAGTTGTTGTTTTGAATGTTTTGTGCTGTTCACTGCACAAGGCTCTGCATAAAACAGTCTTATTAAAAATAATAATCATTTGTCGTCAAGTCAATTCTGACTTATGATTACCCTTTTCAGGGTTTTCCAGGTAGAGAATACTTAGAAGTGGTTTATTATTGGCAATATTTTACTGTCAGGCTTTGAGAAACTCTCTTCCTTGTTAGCTGACTCATACAAGTAGAAGTGTATTTTCTACAACCATATGTTTGCAACATGTACTAAAACAAATGAGAACTATGTACCATCTATTGCAGTGTCAGTAGGAGTGATCATCTTATATAAATGCACACTAATTGGTTTATAATTCTGCAAACTAAGCAAATAAGCACTGCTCTTTCACAGTGGTTTTAAGCAAACAAATGACTGTTGACTGATCAAACTTAGGATTTCCCATTGGTCAGTTCCTTATCAGAGGAAACTAGCCACAAGTTGCTTGGATTAGCAGCTATTGATACTGGGGTGGGGGTAGTACAAGAGAGGTACCATGTGGCCTGTAGGCAACAAGTGCCCTGATTCACCCTCCCTGATCCATATGAAACTCTTCACCTGAAACCTTCCCCAAGAGGCTGGACTGATTACAATCATTAAAAATTCTCATTCATTTGACTTTTCAACACACAGACAATCCACTTTACAATGAGCAGAACTGAACTCCTTCTATTGGAGGAAAGGAAGCTCCAGATCCAACTCAGTACAGATCACAACATGAAATAACAGGAACTAGTACTACAGTCAGCAGGCTTATCAAAATGCATGTGTTTTTGCTTGCATGCTTCTCTCTCCTTAAATGACTGACTCTTGTGGCCTCATGGGAAGATTACATTCCACACAAGAGCATAGTTTAGAAACATTGTGCTTTGGATTACTGCTGCCAGAAACCCCCAGTCAGGATGACCAGTTGGCTGAGGAGTTCTGGGAGGCATAGTAAAAAAAGTAACTTTTCCATGGTATGCAAAACAGCTTTTTCTGTACAAAGAAGAAGCATGGTGTTCACCATAATGGGAAGCCAACAGATCAGGATTGGATGGTCCCAGCATTTGCCAAGGACAGAAATTTTGATTTGCTATCCTGTTCTTTGGAAAACATAATAAAAATTATTTCACTTGAAGGCTACATCCAATCATGCTGGACAATATGAATTTATCCAGCTAAACTTCTGGAGGAACTTTCCATGTCGGGAAAAAATCATACCATCAGAAACCAGGCAGCAGTCAAAATCTTTTACACTGCTCCAATTTGAAAAAGTTAGTTTCTGGATTGCAACCCCCAGAATGAGGGACACAGAAGGAGCCTCCCTGAAAAATGTGAGGACTACAATCACATGCAGATAGCCCCGAGCAACAACAGTGTTCTGTTGGTTGATCCTTCCACTCTAAGAAGCACCACTGGATTGCTTCTAACATAAACAAGACAAGGAGTAGAACAGCCAGAATGTCCCAATGGCCAAGCTGGCTGGGGGAATTGGGGTGCTATAGTCCAAAAAGCAACTTTTCCAAGCTCTGTAATATATCACAGCAGTCATAAGGTTTTCTGCCTGCTCTCAGTAATGTACATAATGCTTTACAAGTGAATGACCAGCACTGATTGTTTACACCTAAAGAAAGGAGGGAACAACAGATCAGGTGCTTCAAAAGCCTGCTGTTCAGGTCTCCCAGGTGGTTTATTCTACAAGTTCAACATTCAGAGCAATAAGCTTGAGTAAACTAAGCATTCCAGGTGGTAGCAAGATGACTTCATGCATATTTATATCCCTCAGCAAACTCAGGACTGTGACAAAAATGCAAAAGCAATGTTAGCTTTTTACCTTTAAGCTCATTGTTCTCAGTGATGAGCTCCTTCATCTGCTGCATCATTTCATCAACGGACGTCTCGATCCCTGGAGACGGCAGATTTGTGGGTCCATTTTCCAGCTCAGTCTCACTACACTGCCCATTTTTTGCAAGACCATTCAGCCTCTTCTTGGACATGACTGGTTACTTTGCAAAAAAAATTGTAAAAGGAAATAAATAAATAAATATCATAATACACCTTTCCATTGCTGTTTAAACTGTGAATGCATGGGGTGGGTGGAAGAAAAATTACTTGGACTATTATTTTGGATCAACCAACTTTGTGATAATTAGAGAATATTTTAAAAATCTATCAACTCATCAATGACTCTACTCACCGGTCAGAACAATGTGGCAATTTTCCTTCCCCCTTACCTGCACACCCACTGGAGCAGTTGGGAATCAGGTATATCACTTGGTGTTCATACTCCACAAATTCTGGCATGCTCACCAGCCATAGCCCTCTTACAGGTATACATTTAATGAGACTGAATTGTGTCTCCAAGAGTCACAATTTGGTCAGGATTCTTCATTGCATGGAACAGCCCTAGAAATTTACATCACAACTACACACCCAAGGTTTTTTCTGACTAATAGTATGCATGCAGTCCCTGGAGGGCAGAGCAGTGGGATACAGCTTCCAGAATCCCTCAGCCAGCACAGCTAATGGTCACTCTGCTTGGGAGTTGTAGTCAAGAAGCATTACTCCTTCCAGCTCTGCGGGAGAAGGGCAGCTAGTCATTGTCTCAGTTGCAGTGGTGTGGTGAATGGACACACTCTTGTTCTTCTTCCTTATGGTCAGTGAACAACGGAGGTCAGTGTCACACACTTGCCTTGCCCTGCAAGACTGAGAACAGCTGTCACTGTTAACAGGATAGTTAAATGCTTTTAATCTCTGGATTTAAAGGTATCTTTCCACAGCCCCATGCTCGGGTGTGAATTAACTGCAACAGTTGGCAAGCCATCCATCTGGAGACCCTCTTGCCATTCTGCTGGGGGCTAGATTTCTGGTGGGGCTGGGGGCTAGATTTCTGCTCCTTGGTCTTAGAAGTTGTTTCTGACTTCTGGTAGCAGTTTTGAGGTGTGTGAGATGTCTGTGCGCTTTACCATTGCCACACACACCCCCTCCTTGATTATGGTCAAGTGGGGATGTGAACCCAAATCTCCTCAGCCTCAGTTCAGCAGCTCTGAGGACCCTGTAACCTGCTAAAAGCAGCTATGGTGGACAACTCTGAAAGGCTCCAGAGCTACTGGGGCCTTATCGGCACTTCTTGCTATGCGTTAAGAAGTGGATAGTGGGTCCCTCTTGAAGGCAGGCCGGGCTTTCCCTCCCGGACACAGCACGGGAGCCCGATTTCGCTTCTTGCGGCTGTCTGCCCCACACCCACAACGCTCCCCGTTTAATCCGGCGTCCATTCTAATCCCGGAAGGCTACAGACATACACATAACATGATCCAGATTCCTTTCAGTCCGCGGCGAGTTTACTTTCGTTTTCCCAACGAGCGGCTAAGGGGGGGGGGCTGAAAGAAAGCCGGGAAGAGACTTTCCCCCGCCTCGTCTCCCCAAAAACTCAAGACCGTGAGCTTCCCTAAGCCCACCTACACCCCCACCCCACCCCGTCCCGCCCCGGCTGGGTCCTCCTGGCACCTTCCCGGCCCCCCAACACGCTTCCTATCGCGAAGGCTGCCCCGCCCTCCGACCCCCAGTGTTCCTCGGGAGTAAGCCCCACGGAACTCAAAAGAGGACGGGCTGCCGTGTAAACAGGCACGGGATGAGCCGCCGGAGGAGGAGGCAAGGAAGGGCGTAAAGGCTGGGGAAAGGATCCCTGCTCGGCGACTGAAGCCCTCCGCTTACCGGGGCGGCAGCAACGGCAACCACCGCCGTCCCCCCTCCCCGATCGCTTCTTTCCGTAAAAGCACCGGAGGAGCGCAGAGGGCAGCTGCTCTTTCGCCTTCCCGTCCCCTGGCAGACCTTCGCCCGGTGGCGGCGGCGGCGAGCGAGGAGTAACGGGGGAGAAGTTTCTCCGGCCCTCGCCTTGCCCCCAGTCAGCTGACGGAAGCCACGCCGCCCTCTTTTTCCGGGGAACCGCCAGGCCTCGTCACGGCCTTGTTTTCCTTCCGCCAGGGCAAAGAAGGGGGAAGCCTCGGGTGACATCATGACACTTGCCCCGGCGGGACGCCTCCCTCCCTGCTGCGCACCGGTCACCCCGGGGGCGGGAGCCCCCTCTTCTCCACCCCCGACCTGCGTGTCCACATCCACCCCGCACTCCCTTGCAGGTCACCAGCTGCTGGACCCATCATGCCTGCCTCTCCTTGAGGGACAGGGCTGACTTGTAGCCCTGTTGTTTCTTGTCTTAACTCCTCTTCCTACCAGCCCTCGCTGGCACAGCCAGGCAGCGATGGGAGTTGTAGTCCAAGAGCACGGATTCTCCACACTGGCTACGCAAACCCATGCATACACACCTATTTGTCAGCATTTCCAGAGGGGAAGTTGTGTTACTTTGTTGCAATAGAAACAGGGGAAGCATCCTGTGTACCTTAAAAATTAAGGATGACGTTACAGCAGTGTGAACTTTCCGGACTGCAGCACATACTTTCCGACGTTTGTACTGCAATGAATTTAGCGCTTTGTTGTTTCCAGTTGTAGCTGTCTTAGGGGTGGACTCTAGGAGAAACATGGAGTGGGTGCTTCCTCCCACCCGGAACTGATCTTGTGGATGGAATACCAGGCTCAGAAGACCTGGGCCTAAATTCTTGTTTCACCATGGAAACACACTGGCAGTTAGCAAGGCCAAACCACTCCTTGAAATCCTATACATCTTGAAAATGTTGTAAGGGTTGCTTTGCGTAGAAAGAATCTTGACAACACATAGACAACATCATTACTGTGATGGGAAAAGGGAAGCATCATCCTCAGTTGAATCTCATCCTTATTTTTTTTTAAATTAACAATTTAGGATAAGGTATGGGATACAGAAGGTAAAGGGGGGATATGAGGGGGTGAAAGTAGGGAGAGGAGAACATAAAATGTACAGCCAACCAATCTGTTCATGTTGTCATATCAACTCAACTTTCCACTTTTCTGCTATATGATTGCCCTCCAGGTTATAACTTAGATTTACATCCTAGTTTTAATCTATATTATTCAAGAATTATCTGGTGACTCAAGCCATTTATATAATAAGTCCCATCGTTCAGTTGCCTTTTGTATTGGACAGTCTTTCAGCACTTCTGATAAGATATCCATTTCTGTCACTTCCCGTATCTTCTCAATAAGTTCCTCTTGTTCCGGTGTCACCGATTTCTTCCAATTCTTGGCATAAAGAATTCTGGCTGCAGTGACTATGTACTGTATATAACCAAGTAGTTCTTTGTCTTATCTATATTGTCTGGTAAAATACTCAGTAGAAACAATTCTGGGGCTAGTGGAACCTTACAAAGCAATATTTTTGTTAACAGAGTATGTAAACCTATTCAAAATTGCTTCGCTACTCTACAAGTCCACCATATATGATAAAAACTTCCCTCATGTCCTTCACACTTCCAACACACATTTGATACATCTGTATAAATCTTTGATAGTTTTTGTGGAGTCATATGCCACCTCTAAAACATACATGTTCTCCTTGAAATTTAACGATTTTGTGAGCTTTATGTTATTTTTCCATATTTGCAACCATTGATCAATATCAATACAGTATTATGTCCTATATTTTGTGCCCACCTAATCATACATCCTTTTACCAGCTCATCTTGCATTTTAATTTCTAACAAATAATCATGCATTTTCTTAATTACTTTATCTTTTGAGCCCAGAAGAAGTTTGTCAAATATTGTTTGTTCTGGGTAAAAACCTTCTATTTTATCTTTTCTGTAACTAGATTCCACTTGTGCTCTCTCTAACTCTTCTTTAGACCTTAACTCACAATCCTTTTAAAATAAATCTTGGTTTCTTAGAAGTTTTGCTTTTGCCATAAGATTAGGTTGTGTAAAGGCCTCTATAGGTGATATCCAGGATGGTGTTTTTTGGTAAATCTGTTGAATGATCTTTTTCCAAATCTGTAGTAGATCTCTTCTTATCATATGCAGGTTGAACTGTTTCTGCTCTTTATCTTTTTTGTACCATAGAGAAACATGCCAGCCAAACTGCAAATAATGTCCTTCCAAATTGAGTAATTATCATTTTCTAAGGTCATCCATTCTTTTATTCAGTCTAATACACAGGATCTATAGTACAAAATTCTCCATTGATTCTTACTTTTGCCTTGTGCTGAGTATAGATTGCTCTAATTAATTTCAAAAATCTTTCCCCCACTTGCAGCACTTCCAACTGATGTAGCATAAAATTCCAGTTTAGATTGTCAAAAGCTTTCTTCGCATCCAAGAATATCATAGCCATTTGCTTTCTGGATGTGTTTCATAGTATTCCAGAGTATTTAAAATTATCCTTATATTATTTTTCATCTGTCTTTTTGGAAGAAAGCCCCATTTGTCTTGATGTATTATCTGTGTGTGTGTGTGTGTGTTGATGTCTTAGTTGTATGTCTAGTAGTATATTAATAAACATTTGTTAGTTCCATTTGGCGCGTAGATAATAATAATTAGCATTTTCTTTGATTTTCTATTTCTTGTCTGAGGTGAAAATTAGTTTTGGTTCTAATTCTTTCTTTATGTACATAGCCACACTTTTCTTCTTACTTATGTCCGAGGCTACAAACAATTTTCCTAGCCTTGACCATTCCAGCAGTTTCTGATCTGCTCTTTTCATATGGGTTTCTTGAATGCAAATTAAATCAGATTTCTGTTTCTGCAATTGTAGAAAGGTCTTTTTCCATTTTTGAGGTGAGTTCAGGCAATTTATGTTGACTGAAAAAAATCTTCATTTGTTTTCTAGTCATCTTGTTGTTGAATCTTATCCTGATCTGGAATGTGCTAAAGGCAGGAAGGGGTCCTTGGAGAAGGGCAGAACGAATAATTGACAAATGCAGTTAATTCTTTTTAAAAACTGGTCTTTTAATATCACAGCGGTCATAAGACTGTGAGACACAGTCTCACGCAAAGTGCAGCAGAGGAGAATCATTCGCTGTGCAAGTTTAAAGGAGATTACATGGTCTTAGTGCAAGGTGAATCCATCCCTGGAGTCTAGGGGGGGAGCTTCTTTAAAAAAAGCCTTTCTCCCATTCCTTTTCCTTCTGCCAATTGCTGTAGTGGTAGTATTCATTTTTCTTCAGAAATCCATTAGCAGTTCAAAACAGACAGTTTAAGATGGCAAAGCATGGAGGGGGTAAAGCCCACAATGATCTATGGAGGCCAAAGAGGTTTACTTTTCATGGTTGACTTTTTGACAGTTTATCTCTCTCTCTCGGCATCAAAAGGAGGCAAGAGTTGAAAATGGCTTGCCAGATTAGGTAATTTAGCAGAAGATATGCACAGTCTGTCTTATTTTTTCATAAGCAGGGTAGGAGTGAGAGGGAGAGGATGGGAACAAGTCCCTTTATTTGGGTGCCTGAGGCAAAGTCAAGATGGTGCCTGTGATCCATTCTGTTTATAGAAGCTTCCTCGATTGAGCACTGCATCTTATTTCAGCACTTCAGACAAGAAACAAAACAAAACAGAAGTAAAAAAAACCTAGATGGATGACAAAAGAAACACTTAAAATTGTAAAGGGCAGATGAGAAGCAAAAGGTGACAGAAACAGGGCCAGAATCCTGAACTTTCAGTGACTTTCATGTAGAGACAAAAAGTACTGCAGCAACCACTGCAAAGAAATAGAGAACAACAAAAGGGGGAAAACAAGAGATCTCTTCCAGAAGATATAAACCCAGATTAGGAATGCTGAGTGACCAACAGGGAAGCACACTATCAGACCAGGAGAAAATAAAGAGAAGGTAGAAACAGTATACTGAAATGCTGTAGAGAAGAGATAAAAGGATTGTAGACTCCTTTGAAGGGGAATCCTATGATTAAGAACCTGCAGTTCTAGAAAGTGAAGAACAGAGAAGAGAAAGGCAAAGATGTACAATGGGTCCAGAGAAATCCCATGGGCCCAGCCCCTTCAGACCCCAACAGAGAACAGTTCATGGCTTGATAAAGGGGGAGCGTCAAGAAGGTCCGACGTTCAATCCACAAAATTGAAGTGGGCAGATAATATGCCAGAGTTGATGGGTGCCAAACCCAAGTGGTCTCCTGATGTTACCAGTTATTCCCCATTGTCATACCATGGGGAGATGCCCAGTTTTAATAACATTAGACTTATGATTTATTATTCAGTTTGGATTATGATGATAACCAAGACACAAATATTGATGAAGACATGTTAAATAATAAACCGGTTTTATTAGAAGAATTGGGTGTGATGTCTGCTTCTTTGAGCAAAGTTAAGAAAAAGGAGGTAGACAACAGGGGGCAAGATCACATCTGGCAGTGGAAAAATTTTTTCTGCCTCAGGTGCCAAAATAACTTGGCTAGCTTTGGGTATTCTGTGCTATGATGGTAGATGCCATTGCTGCTCCATCTCTGGCAGCAAAATGTCTTGGGCCAGCCCTAAGTCTTGTTCCTTTGCAAAATCATGGTATGCATGAAGTCCCAGTGAGAGGGGCTGTGGTCGATCAAGGAGGTGCTTAGCTTATTCTTGGCTTCCGGCAATCCCTCTGTGTGACTCCTGCCTTTGTTCTTAACAGGGCCATCCTGTTAGGAATTGTATCGTGCATGTGCAGGATTTTTCCTTGCTGCAGTCTGAATGTCATCCAAATAACCAAATCCTTTCCAGCTCTGCAGTGCTATAATTCTTGGTCTAAAATGGGAAGCTGCCTTGCATTTCTTGGGAGCTTTTACTGTTATCCATCTCAGCTGCACTCTTCCTCTGCTATACCATTTTTCTCTTTTTCACTCTTGTCCTGTACCTGGACCTGTACTTGTAATCAACATCAGTGCTGCAGGATA